GCTGCCTCTCCTGGGCGGCCTCTCTGCACTGCACGCAGCTGAGGTCGTAGCACAGGAACCGGCCCAGGGACCTGCCATGGGCGTTGAGGACCTCAGCCCCGCAGCCAGACACCTGCCTCTTCTTGCCTGCAACAGAGCCGGGGGGTGCAGTGCCCTGAGCAGAGGCCTCGTGGCCGAGCGCAGCGCCGTGGAGAAGGGGCCCAGTTCTCGTCGGGCATGGGCACAGCCCGGCCCTGGGCAGCAGCTGGGGCACCGGGGATCCCAGCGGCTGGAGCGATCCCAGGACTGTCCTGGCACCACGCAGAGGGTAAGCACGCTGCGCTGTGGAAAGCCGAGCCACGCTGGGATCAGGGAGCGGGGCAATCCTCGCCCCTGGGAGTGGGAGGAAGGCACCAGCCCCACAGACACCCCCTCCTTGTTCCTCCTCCTAGCAGGGCCCATGGGACGGGAAGAGAGACGCAGCAGGGACAGCTGGTCACACGGGAGGGACAGGACTCCCCCAGGGCCCTGGGCTGGGGCTTGTTCTATAGCAAACCTCAGGAAAAGCACATCATGGCATGACAGCAGCTCTGCTGCTGGGGGCTATGAGTATGGCCGGCTGGGCACGCTGTCCCCAGCACAGGGGAAGAGCATGGCCTCACCTGGCTCCCGGGCTTCTGTCACCCTCCTCCAGCACCGTCGGCTGCGGGGAGAGACCTGTGGGCACAGGAGCGCTGGCTCAGTGACCTCGGCCGAGCCCTGACCCGTGCTGCGCCGGGGTCCCTTCCAGCCCCAATTCCCCTGAGGCCAGGGACCCTCCTGCGGAGCAGGGGCCCTGCCGCTGGCCAGTCTCCCTGGGAAGGGCTCCCCAGGAGCCTCCCTCCTACCTGGTGCCATTTGCTGGAGACGCCGCACCGGCAGCGCTGGGTGGCCCAGACTGCCAGGAGCAGGAGGAAGCCGCTGGCCCAGAGCAGGGGGAGCCAGATGTGCTGAGTCAGCCCCGCGGGGTCCAGCATGGCGGGGCTGGGATCAAGGGTATGGGAGCACATGCAGCTGTTTGCAGCTGCTCTTGCCTCCCCAAGCAGCCCTTTTGTCCCCTGGGGACAGGGGGGGGACGGTGAGGTCATGGCCACTGTGAGGCTATCGAGCGCATCATAAGTGCTGCAGGGGACGACAACAGGGGCCGGGTGACTGGCCTGGGAGACGGAGGGTGAAGAAGGGCAAAGCCAAAGCCCCCGAAGCAGTGCAGGGCAGATGGGAGCAGAGGGTGGGCAGGGGTTAAGGCAGCCAGGATGGACCCGGAGAGCAGGGCAGGGAGCTTGCCCATCGCTATTATTTTCCCTCTGCATCCTGCTATCCTGCTGCCTCTTCACGCTTTCTTGCTCTATCCCTCTGTCCTGCTCCCCATCAGTACGTTTTCTTCTCCATCTTTGTCCTTCTCCCCGTCCCTCTTTCTCCCTATCCCACCATCCTCTTCCTTGTCCCTCTTTTTGTCTTTCTGTCCCTCTGTCCCACTCCCCATCTGTGGTTTTTTCTTTCGCCATCTCTCTTTGCTTCTGCCCTTCACTCTCTCTTCTTTCTTCACCTCTCTGTCCCTCTGTCATTCTGCCTCTCCTTCTCTATCCCACTCCCCATCCTTCTCTCTTATGTCTCCGACCCTGTCCTTCTCCCCGTCGCTCTTTCACTCTCTCTCCCAGCGCCCTTCTCCCCTTCTCCCAGCGCCCTGTCCCTCAACTTCTTTATCCCTCTGTCCTTTTTCCTGTCTCTTTCTCTCTCTGTCCCTAATGCTTCTTTCTCCATCTCTGCCTCGATCCCTGTCCCTTTGTCTCTTATTGTCCCCCTGTCCTTTTTTTTGTCCTTACCTTTTCTGTCTTTATCTCTGCTCTGTTCTGTGTCCCATCCTTTCTCGCTGTACCCCCCTGTCCAGCCGCTGTCCCTTTTCCCCCCTCTCTCTTCTTTGTGTCTTGCTCCCTTTGCTGTATTTTGGCTACCTCCCTCTCTGCCCAGCAGCCCATCGCTCCAGGAGCCGACCATTCCCTGCCAGACTGGCGAGCACAGCTCCCGTAACGACCACCGAGGTGTCCCAGGTGAAAGGGGAGCGTAGGGGCACCGAGCCCCGTACCAGACTGTCCTGGTTTCGGCAGGGATAGAGTTAATTTCCTTCCTAGTAGCTGGTCCAGTGCTGTGTTTTGGATTTAGGATGGGAACAAAATTGATAAGGCACCGATGTTTTAGTTGTTGCTAGGTAAGGCTTACCCTGGCCAAGGACTTTCTAGTTTTCCACGCTCTACCGACTGAGAAGGCTGGGGGTGCACAAGAGGGGGCACAGCCAAACTGGCCAAAGGGACATTCCACACCACGTGCCGTCATGCTCAGTACAGAAACTGGGGGAAGCTGGCCGGGGGGGGCCGCTGCTCGGGGACTGGCTGGGCATCGGTCGTCGGGTGGTGAGCAATTGCACTGTGCATCACTTGCTTTGTGTATTATTACTATTATCATATTATTATCATTATCATTTTATTTCAATTATTAAACTGTTTTTATCTCCAATGGCCCCCCGTCTTCCTGATGTGCGCCAGCGGTGGGCTGGGGCTGGAGGAGCCCCGGGTGGGGCCAGTGAGGCTGATGGTGACGGCCCCTCCCTGTAAAGGGCCTGTGCCGCTGGGCTGGCTCTGGGGGGGGTGGTTGGGACCCTGCCCTTGCTGTCTGGGGTGGCTGTGGAGGGGCTGGGGTGGGACAAGGGAGGAGCGGTCGCCGGGGCTGTGGCTGCACCCGCACCGAGGGAGAAGGTGAGCGGGGCCGGACCTCCCTTGGGCTGTGAAAGTCCTGGGCAGGGGGCCGGGGCGGCCCGGGGAGAAGTGTCTTGCGGGTGGGCAGCGGCCGGGGGCCGTTGCGGAGCACCGGGTGGGTGCTGGGGGCTCACAGGAGCGGGGCGGAGGGGCTCTGGGTCTGGTGGCGGGGCCACGCAATCTGCCTGCCTCTGTCTTTCCCTGTCTGTCTATCCCTCTGTCCTTCTGCTTCATCTGTTGGTTTTTTTGTGCTCCATCTCTCTTTCCCGCTGCCCGTTGCTGTTTCTTTCTTTCTCTGTCCTCTTCTCCTCCCTTTCCCTTATTTTTCCCCTCTCGGTTACTCTGCATTTCCTCCTGTCCCTATTTCCCCCTCTCTTTATCCCTCTGTCCTGCTCCCTGCTCCTCTGTTTCCCTCTCTCTCTCTGTCCAGGTCTGTCCCTTATTTGTAGTTTTGATCTTCCTCTCCTCTCCTTTTCCCTGTACCTTTCTTACTCTCTCTGTTCCTCACCCCTTCTCCCTCTTCTTATTTTTCTCAATCTATCACTCTGTCTTTTCTTTCGACGTCTCTCTGCCCTGCTCCCTGCCCTGCCTCTGTTGTTAGCCCTGTCTCCCTCGTTGTCTCCCTATTCTTCCGTTCTGTTTCTTAACCCTTTCTATTTCTTGCTGTCCTGCTGTCCATTCATCACCATTTGAGAAGGACGTGAAGGTCCTTGAATGCGTCCAGAGGAGGGCAACAAAGCTGGTGGAGGGGCTGGAAGGCATGTCCTCTGTGTGGCGTACGCCCTCTAACTTTATGGCCAAACAGCATA